AATCGGGCAACCCCTGTGAAAGGTTTGTTCGACCCACAGGTTGAGAACCATTGACATAATGTAACCCTGGTGGAACATATGAAGGTGAGGACAGGAGGGACCCTTGCACGGAGGATGTGGAGGTGACCCTGTGAGGGAAGCCTGGGCCTGGAAGCTGTCATGGAAACCTGTGTGTAGGGGAATTATGTGGCAGTGGTGAGGCTCAGACCAGGAAGACATGACATTGACTCTTGAAGAAGATCCAGGTGTGGAGGGGGTGCAAGTGACCACGTGAGGCAACACAGGTATGGAGGATGTGACAGAGACCATATGGGGGCTTCTAGGCATTGATAAAGTATGGTCAGCTTCTGGGGGGCCTGGTCCCAGAGGACACGACAACGACTGTGGGGAGAACCCAGCCTAGGAGACATACCTGTGCCCTTGGTAAGAGGAACTAGCATGGAAGATGTAAAGGTGACGATGGGAGGGACCCAGGCGTGGAGAAAGAACCAGGTGAGGAGCCTAGGTGTGGAGACTATTGGGGACCAATGGAGAAAGGGAGAGCAGGGAAGGCATGGCAGTGACCATGGGAGGTGGGACACAGGTGTGAAAGACAGGAAGATGATCATGCAGTTGTTAGACATTGAAAATGTGCTGTGTAGGAGGCCCTGGGAGTGAAGCATGTGGAGGTGACCTGAACTTGAAGTGTATTGAGGTGACGGTGTAGGAGCCCCTGGGCATGGAGGATGACAATGACCATGGCGGGGTCACTGACCTGGAGAACATGACATTGGCCCTGGTGGAGAATCTGGGTGTGGAGGATCTGGAGGTAATCATGTAAGGAAACCTGGGCACAGCCGATGTGACCATGACAAAAAGGGGGGCTCTGGACATAGCAGAAGTACGGTGACGTGGGGCAGGACCTAGGCCTGGTGATCACGAGAAAGACCCAAACCTGCAGCAGTGGCTGTGACCCAGGTAAAGAACTGGGTGTGCAGGGTCTGAAGAGAATAAATGGGGAAACTCCCACAAGGAGAGCTGGAGCTGGCTATAGGAAGAAACCGGGCAGCCGCCATGTGGAGGGAACCTGGCGGTGGAAGACATGTTGGTGATGGTGTGGGGCCATCCAGGCGGAAAGGATGTGGACGTGACTATGTGGGGAATTAGGCATGGATGCAGAGATGCGGACCGTGGGAGGTGGGGACAGAAGCAGGGAAGGTGTGATGGTGACCATGTAAGGGGAACCTGGCATGGAGGGCATGGAAGTGATTGTATGGGGGGTGGGGGAATGGAAGCGATTGTATGGGGACATGGGGGGAGGCAGGCCTTAAGGATGCAATAATGACAGGGGTTGGGGGGCTGGGCTTGGAGGACAACGTGATGGTGACCTGGTGGAGGATCCAGGCATGCATGATGTAGATATGGAGGACATGATGGTGACCTTAGGGCAGCAGTTCTCAACCTGGAGGTCATGACCCCTTTGGGGGTCAAATGACCCTTTCACAGGGGTCACCCGATTCATAATAGTAGTAAAATTGCAGTTATGAAGTAGCAACAACAATAATGTTAAGACTAAAAATAATGTTATGAAAAAATAAATAAAAATAATGTTATGGTTGGGGGGGGTCACCACAACATGGGGAACTGTATTAAAGGGTCGTGGCATTAGGAAGGTTGAGAACCACTGTTCTAGAGTTAATCTTTTTTTTTTTTGGAAGAACAGATACAATTAAGACACAACTGGCTTGAATAAAGGACTGTTTCTTCAAACTACTCATTATGAATCAGGTGAGGTTTATAAAGCACATCATCAGTTTTACATTCAACTTCTCATCACACATTTGTTTCAACTCATCCATTTCACTTCTCTCAATGTCCGGTGTCCCTTCGTCCTCCTTTCCTCGGCCCCTGTCCTTGAAGACATGCTACCCTCTCCGAGCACAGGGTAAGTCCTGTGGCAGACTGGACGGTGACTGAGGGCCAGCATCCTGGAGGCTTCTGCACCAGTCTCTGGCCAACCTGGTCTCGTTTGTAATTTTGAGTTTTGTTCAGTATTTTCTCCCTCTATCCAGGGCCTTCTCATAGGACCCTTCTCAGAGCCACTGGTAGTGGTGGCCGAGCCCCATCTAGTCCTTCCGGTCTCAGGGATGTAGACTGAGGTGTGAGTGGTCCATAAACCCTCTGTCTGTTGTTGATATGGTTTTCCCCCAGTGGACAGTTCCCAAAAGGTGTTCGTGGAAGATCAGTGTCCCCTTCGTGAAACAGAGATATCACAAGAGTAGGAAAGACAGGGCGCATTTCCAGAGTAGAGAGAGACATATTTAATAAAATAGATCGCTAAACTAGGAGGAAGTATGTACAATCTGCTGGTGGGGTCCACTCCGGGCGGTAGCTGCAGGCCTCATTCTCGCAAGAGCTTGTGCTTGATGGTGGTGCTCTCGGAGCAGAGATGAACGAAGAGGGTGCCGGCGGCTGCACGGGCCCGCAACTCCTGCAGCTCATAGTCATGGGCCCACTCGATGTTGCCCCACTTCTGGATCTGAAGGGAGGGTCAGACACAATGGCTGGGGAGGCACCCGAGCGAACACAGGCTCCAAGTCAGCACATAAGAGACGTGCAGAGGGAGGGGCAGCTGTGTCCATGTTCAAAAGGCAATGACGATATTAGAGGGTGCAGGCTAGGCCCACAGCCAGTGGCCTCCAGTGCCGGGGGCCAGGCACCTAAACCCTAAGCATTCTCTCCTCCATGGGACCCAGCCCATGGACGTGGAAGGAATGAACAAGGCACTGAGGGCCCATGG